CAGCAAAGAACGGGGTCACATGTGCACACGCGCTGCAAAGGCACCTCCTCTATCTACCGCCCGCTCCTCTCCTCAATACCTCGTTGAGAATGACACTGTTGTTAGGGACCTGTCGCAAAAACGACAACCGTGAAGGAAAACCCTGGGCAAATGAAGCTGTTCTTCAGGTATAGGAGTTACGAAATGTGTTTACTACAATGCAGCTTCTGTCATGATCATATAACACCTTCCAATCGATTCTGCAACTTCGAGTGAGGTCGGATGCATGGCCTATACCAGACAAAATCGGATGATGACGATTGCCCCTTTTCTTATTGCTTATGTTGGAAGAATGTATTCTAGACACATTTCGAGCGTTGCCAACGAATTACACTTGCAATGGTGAAGAAGGGAGCGGCTTTTGAGCGGCCGAGAATCATCCTCGATAGATCCTCGACGCAAATATCTCCTCAACTAGAGAATGTAGAAGGAAGCTAAACATACTGTTAGAAAGCGCAAACCTTCCGCTTTCCAAAACTGTCTTCATTTTTCAAGTTCTTGCGAAATTAGAGAGATATTGCCTTTTAAGTGGCAAAACTCGCATGAAAACATCTTTTCAAGTTCTTGCGAAATTAGAGAGATATTGCCTTTTAAGTGGCAAAAACTCGCATGAAAATTTCAGCATCCTCGACGCTCCCTCGACGGATTTTGAGAGACTATCTCTTCGAATGGAAGGCTTTCATAGCAATTCCAATACTGCCTGATAGTAGCAAATCTAGCTCTATCTAACCCTACCGCGTGCTGTTCAAAAGGTTATGAAATGGAGGAATGGAACCTTTTCATCGAGGGTGTAGATTTCGACGGTTTTTTTTTCGGGATTTCAGCAAATCTGACCCAGGGACAAATCGCGCCGCAGCTGCCGTTGAATCGGCCGTTGATCGATACACTCGGCTGTTGTGATTTTGCGTATGCTCTGTTTTAGGGGGTCGTGCCAAGACCTCGATTTCAGGGGGGGGTCGTACTTCTGCGACCACGTCCTCGACACGATTTTCACCCTGTTTAGGACCATGCTCGCGATCAGTTTATATATGATAATACTTCCGCACATTGTCGACCAAATAATCTGAGTGGAAACAAGAAAGTCGTGCCAAATAGCCTGCTGAGTATATTTTCCAAGACTATGATTATTCTAGATTACTGTATTCAAAGCTCAGACTTTTACAACTTATTTAGATAGAGCAAAAAACGCGCTTTTTAGGTTTAAAATGTTCGCAATCTCTTAAAACTCATCAGAAATGAAGCATTCGAAATTGGGCTACTGAAGCCGAAGAAAAGTTTCCGAACAGTTCAATGACGTGAATTTTGCTTGTATGAAATGTCCTGTGTAAACTTCTACTACTCAAACTCTAATTTACCTTAATTTCATCCAACATATTTTCTCGGCATACTTCTGAGGATGAGAATAAGTTCCTTAGTGACCAATATATTTTTCGGTATGCTTTTGAGAATGAGAATAAGTTCCTTAGTGATAGCTAATTCAGCTTCGTCAAAAATTACCTGCTTTCAGTGCCCACCTCCAGCACCATGCCCAGCATGTGTTCAACAAGTCTGCCCTCCTCCACCAACAGCATACTGCCCTCAAGTTCAACCAGTCTATGTGCAGTCCTGCACTGGAAGCTCATGTGGTACACCCGCCTGCACTGGAAGTAGTTGTGCCAGCGCAGCAGCAGCAGCTTGCACTGGAAGTGGATGTGGAGGAGGCGGTGGAGGATGCCGCGGAAGCGACTGCGGAGGTAAGAAACTTCAC